GCGGGTGACTGCAGCGGGTGACTGCAGCGGGTGACTGCAGGCGGGTGACTGCAGCGGGTGACTGCAGTGCTTTTCCTGCACTTTAAATGCACTCTGAGCTGGAAGGCCACTGCAGCTGATACCTGCAGCAGGTGGAGAATGGGTTCATGTCCCGCTGACTGAACTGGAGCGTCTGTGGGATGAGAGCGGCACTGACGAGGCAGCTGATGTCATTTTCATTTATTTTATTTGTTTGTCAGAAAGCGCCTGGTATTTGAAATGAGTGCAGAAGAGCACCTTTATAAATGATAGTATTTTAAAAAAGCCTTTTTTAAAAACACGTCCATCCTCAGATCCATTATTTTTGCATCGTTCTTGCTTTGGTACAGTTTTCCTGAATAATCCCAGCGAGCCCGATGGGACGGGTTTCTTTGGTTTTACAGTTGGAGGTTTTGTTAAAAGTTGGTGTCTTCGCTTTCCTGGGACTGCATCGCCGTGGTAGCAGTCGCCCCTCGTCCCCACAGCTTTGCACTTCCGTAGTGATCTGAAGCTAAATGTCAGTGTAACACAAAGCGATTTCCCTGTAGGCAGTAATGTCCACTGCACTCACACACGCGCACACACGGGGTCACATGTGAACAGTCTCACCTTGAATATTGACGACCTTTCAGCACACAGTGCACATACAGTATGCACATATTTATGTGGCTGCGTTACAGTAATCCACACACTCCTCTCAGCCAATTAGAGTAAAGGTTATCCTCATTTCATCCAATTAAAATCAGTATGATCCGGTGCAGCATGCAGATTGGTTCATGTGAACTTTGATTAATGGCGTGTGAATTTAGTGAGTGGAAGTGTGGGAGCGTTTCATCTACTGTTCCTTGTATTTATGAATCATTCATATATAAATAATGTGTGAAAAATGGAAGCTGATGTGTGAAGCATCCCTGTAAGAACCGTAGGCATTAATCACACTGTCCCACATGTTATCACTACATCAATAATAATAATTTGATATTGTTCACACTTTGATTGCAGTTCACACCATTTGTTACTTTGACTGAAAAACTGCAAACATATGGAAACGTGTTTTATTTACAAGTTAAATATGACCGCAAACACCAGAATCACCTTAACACCTGTAATGCAATTTGTAGTATTTTTGTAGTACAAGACAGTATTTGCTGTACTTGACTGATATTAGAACGACTTAGAGATTCTAATGTGATTCAAACAACATTATATAAACACGTCTCCAGCGTGATGCATGCATGTCATTCATTGTTTCCTCGTTGTCTTTCTGAGCTTTGTGTTAAACATGATGACACGTGCAGGCTGTCACACCTCATCACTACAGGGCTGCATTTGTAGACTGTTGTGTTGCAGCTCCTTATTTTTGCATGGTTGGCTACCAGCTCGTGAGTGTAACAGCTTGGAGGCTGGCCGTGTAGAGCGCTGTCGTCTATCAGTGCAGTGCACGCGAAGGAACGAATGATGTTTGTTTTAAATTCATTTAAAATAATCCCGTGTCTGCTCGTATTGTTTATACATACAAGGTGATTATGTATTTAAACATAAATACAGATGTTTGGCTCCAACCTTAAAACCACGAACAGGTACAGATGTTGTTATGTAGTTACATGCAGTACATGCAGTACTCATTCAAATGTAACGTGTAAAATGAAAGGATGTATACATGACTGTAGTTATTGCACAAACACACCAGGAAAAAAACATGAATTGATTAATTAGCATTGTTGTTGTGTGTGAATCAAATATGTCTCTGCTCAGCAGCCTGCTGGATTCCGGCTTGAGATTACTGCCAGTACTTCAGTGTAATCTGATTAGCTGCAGCACCGACAGTCTTGACTTCGATGTGAGGATTTCTAATGGTTCGTGTAATTTGGGCCGTACCTAATGTATGTCTCTATTTTTAGATGCTACCTTAATAATATTTATTTGATATGTGCACTGTACTATCAGATGATGCTGAACAGTAATTTTAGGATCCCTGTGTTACTTGCTGTGTTTGCAGAAGGTATTATTTGGTGTGATGTTTATTTCTAATGTGGCATTTATTGAGGTTTGGGGTAGTTACTGGGACCAAAGGCACAGCAGCAGTCACATATTTGCATGGTGTGTTGGACACTGTAGGAGACCTCTAATAAAGACTTTAACTGGCAGAGAAGAATGGACCTTTACGGAGAACAGAGGGCTGACAATAGTCTGCTGGAAATAAAGCGTCCACCTCTGCTGCATTTGTGAGGCTGAGAATAAAGCCGGCCCGTGCTCCCGGTTAGCGTTAGTTTGAATATCAAACACGAGCGTGATTCAGAACACCTGAGGCTAATGGCGGCCGTATTAGAGCGTTAGAAGTTGGCGCTGTCCTTTATTTTTGCCTTCTGTTATTTTATTCTGTTTTTGCTGATGTATGTCCAGTTTCCTGTCGCCTCTACCTGTGATGACCTGTGTAAACATGTGTTGTCTGTACTTTATGTACCGCTGATCTCCAAGCTGTTCGACGTGTCTTGTCTCAGACCGGCTCCCACTGAAGGTCATCGAATTCATCCCACACGTCTCATGTCACACCTTATATTTCAGACTGTGGGTCGTGTTTTTGTGTCACTGCTGCTCTCCTGCTGATGTTGAAAGTGTGGTAGCTGCCTGATTTAAACAGTTATCATTCATCTGCACACACACGCTTTTATTTGGACTTGTGTAGCTTTAGATTTTTAGACCCAGTAAAGTAAACGTCTGTGAGTGGGAGCAGCTGAAGAAGACGTTTTTCTTTAAAACAGGTGGTTTGATTAAAGACTTTATTCAAATCAAGGCTTTTATGGCAGTTACAGTAACAAGCACTGCTGTTGGGTGCTAGAATTAGTCTGTGTGTCATTAGTGAAACATGGGGCTTCGTGTGTTTAGCTACAAAGTAACAACAGTCGTCAGTTAACGAATGCGTCAAAGTAAGGAAGCTAGTGGAGTCAGTCAGCCGCTGTCCTCATGGAAACGTAACCCGCCAGTACCCACTCTGGAGTACATGCATCATATCAGCATTTGGCTTAAAAGAAAAAGAAAATCTGGAGTACAAACTTGTGTACGAACACATTCAGAGAGCGCATTATGATGCATGCTTCTGTCCACATCACAGTTGGAATATGTTGTTGTTCAGACAAAATAGGGCGAGAATTATTGCACAAAGTACACTGCGAGGTTGTTGCTCTCCAGGAGAAATTGTGTAACACCAATTTGTTCTTTCTGTGAGTCTACAGAAAGCCTTTTCTCTACTCAGCAGTGCTAAAATTGCAACACTAGTTTAAGAAGTGCTCGACAATTTCCCTGTAGCGTTTCCACATTTCCTTTAGGAGGCTTTTTGTCGTCATCGTGTCGTTGAGCTTTAATTGACTCAACAAGGATTTAGCAGTCCTCTAATGACACCACTTTGAGGACAAAGTCACGCTCATTAGTTCCCAATGATGCTCGATTCACACGGAAATTTGCCAGATGTGCTTACAGTTTTGGGATATATGTTTTAAGATCCTTTCTCCCCATCTAGTTCACTTGTGCAGTCATATTTTAAAAGCATCGCTACTTCTGTCCTTGTGTCGTTAACGAACAAATCTCTTTCAAGGCAACTCTCCAGTGAGGCTGATTGGAGCATTGAAAGAGAGTTAATTGAATGATGTAAGTCGGTTCTTATTTAAAGGACAGAAGGAGGAAAAAAGAGTGCGATATTAAAGGATGGTAAGG